TGCCGTGGGGCTGTGGTGATGCCCGCAAGCACAACTCTGTGCTGCGCCATTCTTCATACAGCCTTGTGAGCCTGCTCCTTCACTCATTCCAGCCTCAAAAATGGAAACAGGAAGGATTCTCTTCCCCTCATCCCCAACACAACCAGCTCCACCCTGTACAAAACCAGAAGTGATACTTCCTCTATCAGTAGGAAAAAATATTCATTTTGAGATTTTTTTTTTTAAACAGAAAAACCTGATAAATGTTACACACAACAAAGTCTTGTATAGCTTAAAGTCATTTCCCTTCTTTCCCCCCCTCACTTTCTGGTTCTGTTGTTCTGACCAGCTTTCCTACTGCAGCTGCAATTAGCAAGAGTCACAGCTGAGGACCTGCCCCTATGGCACTGCATCTGTTTTCACTGGAGCTGAATTTAGTTTCAAGACATCTACTTTGGGTGCTTCTGCACCCCTGGGTGAGAATCCAAGAGTGGCACCAGCAGGTCCCCAGCACACTTATCAACTCAAAACTACAAGAAATCAAGTTCCAGCTCTGTCTGTCCATCCAGATGAGCCAGGAACTTAGTGCAGGGTTGGGTACTGGCATGCGGTGGCATCTTTCTCAAGCTCTATCTCTACAAGCAGCTTAGATACAATCTGCTTAAGTCTTTTATCCACGAGTAACTGAAAAATCCAAATTCAAGCACAAATTATGTGGCTGAGCCTGCCCTTAACTTTTCCTTTCCTTTGTTGCTAAAGCCACTTTTCCCTGTCTGCAAAGCCACGGGTGGATTTACCAGAGGTGGCTAAGGAGACACCAGTCACCCTGTAAATCCACATGCCCCCAGTTCTAGGAACTCATGATTTCCAATGCAGCACTACGGCTTCTTTCTATCTCCCTGACTCCATATTCCAAATGTGAGAAATTAGAGAAAAACAATGTGCCTCCCTCTAGCTGCAGCCCTGCACAAAAGCCCTGCTTTTCTCATTTGACACAGCAAGAAGGTTTTAAGGAGCCAAGAGAACTAAAAAAAAACCCCCAAATCCATCCCTAATGCAGATTTTTCAGCCCCTTACTCTTCCACCTGCACAAGACAAGAATCTATAATCAATGGGCTTGGAGCCACACATCTCACAGGCAGAGAAAAGGGAGAAGGACTTTGCAGACTCTCAGGCATCACACAGGTTACCCTGAGCAGGAACAGCAGCTACATCTAGCACATGCCCCAGATCAGTGCATCTATTTGCTTGTCCCATCATTTGACACAGACACACCATTCAATTTACAGAGAAGCAGGAGGCCTCCTGCCTTCCCACTATGAAAAATATACCACGTTGTCAGCCATGAGCGCAGCTGAACTACTGTGAATATGATTTACCTGCCAGAGTCGATGAAGACAAACCAGCTTTGGTGCCATTTCAGAAGCCAGGAGCAAAACCTGCCTGTGCAAGTCTGGGAGGGATATGGGGGGGAAACAAGAATATATACTGGTTCATATTCACACATACAACTATGCCCTAGGCAACTGTGTGCAAATGCACTGAAGAGTGCAAAGACGGTGTATGTGCATGAGGGAGCAGAGAGGACTTTCTCCAAGCCACCTATCGGATACAGAGCACTTACCAAAGGTATAGCTCTAGGGCTCAGAAAGCATTCTGAGATAAATGACCTGATTTGAACATTTAATTCCAGATTTTCACAAGCCAAGAATAAATAAATGGAAATATCTTCACCTAGCATTGGAATCATGAGGATTAATTGCAGGATAGAGGGCATTCCTCATTGTAGAGGATGGGATGGGAGGAAAATAGCAAAGGCAGAAGGCCAGCATTTTTGTGTCCCCGTTCCAGAAAAAAACTATAGGGAATGTTTTTCATTTCATTCTAGAGAAAATAACCTGTCGTGTGTGTGTGTGTGTGTGTGTGTGTGTGTGTGTGTGTGTGTGTGTGTGTGTGTGTGTGTGTGTGTGTGTGTGTGTGTGTGTGTGTGTGTGTGGCAGAAATTCAGAAGCAGAAATGAAATAGGTTTTTTTTTTTTTTTTTAAATAGCGAACTTAAAACATTGCAAAAGGTTAGAATGATTTAGAACACCCAGTCTGAGCGGCCACGCTTGGCTGTTCTCAGAGTACGTGTGAGGTGACTGCACGCAGGGCTCTTGCAATGGCCAGAAAAATTGTGCTGCTCACAGCCTTTTTCATTTCCCTGCTATCTTTATGAGAGGCATGCAAGAGAAAGTTACCTGCTCGCCATACAGGGTACATGGCACAGATCAGTTCATGCTTCTCTTTGTCACAGCGAAAGCAAGTGCAACGTGGTTGGAATAGCTTCTCTCCTATCTCCTAGAAGGGGAGATATGGCAGCCAAGCAGCTCGTTCTTCTTGCTTAATCTTCTGAAAATAGTTTGTGGCCAGATTATTGCCTTGCAACTTTGTCACTAGGTATGGTACCAGGAAAAATTTCCATGAGACTGTACGTGTGCAATTACCAACATCACATTAGCCTCTATGGGGTTTGCCATTTCAACTCTCTCATTAGTGCCAAGCCTTAGGTGTGCTCCTTCTCCCAGCTGGCCACACTGTGGTATTACTTTATCAGCAAAATCTAATTGGTTACCCCTATTCTGTCAACTCCACGGCGTGGCTATCGGAAAGGTAACATCATAATGCCAACACTGCTGATTGGCTGGCCTTGCAAAAAGTAGCACCTGGGATAGGGTCTACTTTAAGAGGTGATAAACTAAATTGCAGATGATCGTCTTCAGCCCCATCCTACACACTGAGATCATAGAGATAGGAAGAAGGCACTCAGTCACTCTAATTCAAAAGTTGCTACAGACAAAGTGAGCAGAGATCAGATAGCCTCTAGCCAGCCAGGAACTAAATTATATACTCCACTACAGAGATCCTCTGTTATCCTTCTGCATCAGCTACCAAACTTGAAGAAACAGAGGGGTCATTAAAGAACAGGAGAGGCAGTGGTAATGTTATCATGAGTGAGGTGACAAACTAGCATTGTCATGAAAAAGATTGGACTGTAAATAACATTGACCAAATCTTTCATTGGTTTGTTGGCTCAGAACATTCCACATTAGGCCAAAAAAAAAAAAAATCAAAAAAAACTCCCTCCCCACTCACGCACATATAATGGCAATGGGTGAGTGGTGGGAATTACAAGCATATGCACAATAGGAACAAAATAGCAGTGGCATAGTTGCATTAGAAATCCCATCAGATGGGTGCGGGCTGCCATTGTATGCTGTTTTCAAAAGAAAATAAAACCTTCCCTAAAATGCTGGAATTATTGCGATGGCTATTCAGATGAGGTGGTTGAATGACAATCTATGACTGACTGGATGAACAGCAAGGAAGTTTAATGAGGTGTCACTGAGCTCAGGCTAGGATTAATCATTTCAAGAGGCACTTAAAGTCAGGGATCAGCTAGGGAAAGCGGGACTCACCTTGGCTATCACTTCTGAAGGAATGACTGGCATGTAACATTCTTTGGTTGCTACAACAAACAGACTAGTCAAGAACATTTAGGTATTGTTATTCAAGCTGACTGCTATGAACGGCCATCAGAAAGATTCCAACCAGACTCATCAAGAAAACATCAGCTGAGGCTGTCTTTGTCAGTGGATTTAGAAGGACAGTGTTCAGTTACTTCTGTTGCTGTTGAGAAAAGGAGCAAAAAAAATATCAAACAACTTGAATGCAACAGAGTGATCTCCTTTGGAAGAATGATAGCACCGTCACTGACTCTTCAATAAGCAAAGATGAGCAGAGAGTGAGCTCCAAGACTGGGAATGAGCAAGGGGTGCAGGAGAACACTTTCCAGGAAGTGTAGTTACTGTTTGTTGTGTTGTTTTCACCATAGTCAACACCACTTGCTAGGGCTATGGAATAAATATTTTCCTCTCTCTGCTCAGTGCTTAAATTCCCATTAGTATCATTACTATTGAAAACTGTTGCATGCTACTGCTACTCACCTGCCTGCAAGGGTATGACAACAGAAACATGTTTCATCATCTTGTGGTTCAAGCTGTCTGAATGCAAGTATATCATAATTTGGGAGGTCAGATGATTAGCAAAAATGTAATCACTTAACCAAAGCCTACTTTTGCCTGACAGTCTAGGCACCAGCCATGTGCAGGTGGCTGACTGTGGAGCTGAAGCTGACCTGTGGAGTAAAAGGTAACAAGGAGGGAAAGGTGGAGAGTAACTCCTCATCCAGTACTATAAAACACAGCAGACCCCTGGTTGGTCCACTCTTGAGCTTCATCTCCCTTTTGGAAAGTAAAACCTGGAGGAAAAGTGAAGCTAAATGTTATAGAAATAGCATCCTCAGGTCCTAATATTTTGTGTCTCTGAATCCTCCCTTATGACCTCTACAAAAGTGGTAAGCAATATCTTCTGTACACTGCAGATAATGTGGCATACCTACACATCTAGTGAGTCAGAACGTTCACAGTAGAACACTGAATTCCCATTAACATCTCAATTTTTAATTGTGTCTAACTTTCTCAATAAACATCTTTTCTTCCTGAAAGTCAGCATGATTAGATTACTTGTCAGAAGAAAACGCTTTTGGGGGAAAATTGTATGTCATTTGGAAAATGCATTTCTAGAAGTAAAAGTCTTCTAAAAGTAACAAAACCATTTTCGTACTTTCTTCAAAACCTTCAAAGATTTCTCCACAAAAAAAGAAAACAAATTATGCCTCCTATGTCTGTAAACTCCATATTTGTTTTATTCATTTGTTTTTCCTTCAGGAAGGTCTATATGCAAGGTTCATTCTTGGAAGGACAGCAAGGCCCTTTCTACATTAAGAAAATGTGCACTGTACTGATGCAATTACACTAGTGCCAATGTCATTAATGTACACAATGCTTCAGTGAACCTTGGAGACCATGAAATCTCTCCAGCAAGTCTACAAACTTGCTGGAGGTCATGGGGAGTATAAATCCTCCAAAAACTAGAGGATTTATGCTATTTATTCAATCAAGAAGGAATGTTTTAACTTACCTCACATTCCTCTTGTGATTGTCATTCATATTCCAAGGACTTCAGATGGAGATGAAATTGCTGCTCCATTCCTGGGTGATAGCTACCTGCTGTGTCTTTTCTTCAGCCCTGAATTCTGAGTCCAGTGGGAGGGCAAAGGGAAAGGAAGAACTGAGAGAACTGATAGTAGCTTCTCAAAGTACCCCATCAATGTCAGATTCAAACCATTTGATGCCATTAGAAGTGGAGCAGTCTGTTGTCATTTTTCTCCATTTAAATTGCCCCTGCAACCAGGCAAAATAAATAAAATGAAATTACAACTCCAGAGGGCTTCTCTTCCCTCCTTTTTTGTGCTTCTGTCATTCTACTTGACTCTTCTACTGAGCTGCTGAGGAGCTGTCACCTTCTGTAGCATCCAGGGGATCTCTGGCAATCCAAAGTACAAAAAAAAAAAAAAAGAAAAGAAAGAAAGAAAGAACACCCAAAAGGCAGATGAAAGAAAAGCAGTGAGGCCAACAAAAAACCAACAACAAAAGAAAAGCAACGGAGCTGGATTGGTTGCACTTGTTGTTTGTGCACTCTGGAAATATCAGTAATGATGAAGAAGATGCAATAAATTGCTTTGAAGCCCTCTATGATCCTCTCCCTATCCTTTGTCACCCTGGAGATGAACTGTGTGCATGCGAGTTTATTTCTCTCCCTCATGACCCATCCTCTCCTTTCCTCCTGGGATTTAACAGATGTGGTAACCTTTGTGCTATTTATTGTACAGTCAGGAAATAAAATTCCACTCAGTTAAGCCACGTTGTGAGTGGAAATTGCAGCTGTCAGCTCAGGTGGACTTAGTATACGGAAGCTCAGGAAATCCAAATCAGCCAGTCCCTGAACATTGTCATGAGTTGAAAAACTGCTCCACTGTCCTTTACCTGCCCTCTCTCTTACCTTCTCAAGCAAAACAGTAGCCTGCAGCTACCTAAACTGGTCTGCAAACAAAAACCTAGGTCCCATTTCTCCCACTCTCAGGTTTAGAGAAGACTCACGTCCTCAGCTGGGAGAGCCGATCAGAGGTCTAGACTTGTGACTACGTGGTTTTGTTGGAGCATCTTGAGTCCGGAGGAAAGATGAGGGCTCAACCATATTAGGCTCTTACAACTACATATTAAGGCCATTTCTGACTGGAACAGAAGTGTGGGAATCATGGAGGAGGGCCCTCTGGTGGTTTTGGGAAGGCTGGTGTATATAGGGACTTCTGGGCTGACCAAGAAAGTGCCTGTCATTCTATGGCTCCAGTGCTAACAAAAGCACTTTATGAACTGCAAAAGTGCCAGCCATAGAGGGAATCACATCTGAATTAGAACTCTGAGCCTCTGCAGAAAGGAACTGAGGTGAAATTTAGAAAAAAGGAGTTGTATTCACTGGAGAAGAACTCTCAAGTCACCGTCTGGCTTATACAAGAGCAGTTCTTGATGTCTCCACCCTAAATCCCATCAGGTGACCAGTTAATGAGCATGTTAGAAGAGCCAGAAAGGCAAATCCCCAGCCTCCTCAGGTCTGCCATCCTATGGTCCCCCTGCATGCGAGTGGAAGGTGCGAAAACACTCACAGTGCTTCGACCTGGCTCTGAGCATACTGAACTTCTCTCACTTCAGAGCTCCTTCAGAGGGCCATTTGTTGAGTGTGGACGTAGGGCCTTCTTTCGAACCTTGTGCCCCCACCTTAGAGATGGTTGAGTTCCCAGGCTTAAGTGGTGTCTGTCACTTGAGTGCCCCTGGCTTAGTGGAGCTTCTTTGCTGAGTAGATTCAGTGCTGGTACAAAGTGAGAGAAGTACTATTTCTGGGCAGTTTCAGCCAGGCCATAAATCTCATGTCACAGATCAAGTCAAACTGGTAATAAATCTCTTAAAGCTTGTAAGACACTGTGCCAGATCCAGTCCTTGGAAAAGGAAGTACAGTTCCATTGACTGCCAACACTTGTTTGCATGAGATTTTATCTTTTTCCTTCTCATTATCCCCAATACCAATACTCTGTGTGCTCTGTCTCTGAAGTGAGTATTGCTCTGAGAAAGACGACAGCAGGCTAGGGTTGGCCAGGAAATGCTATTCCCATATTATTTTCTCTGATTGCCAAAAAAATTTTCAGTCCACACTGTGTATATTACAGCTGGAGGCAGGACAGGCACAGGACAGAGTCACCATGTCCGTGCACATAATTCTTCTCTCAGTGCTTTCTGCCAACACCTCTGAGGTCAAATTCTTTGACTGCCTAGCTTGTCTTAGATGCCCCATCATCCTTAGGGCAGTATGAAAGTGATCCCATCAATACCCTGAAAGGAAATAATGCAGCACCCTCCATCACCTGTGGCAGCTCTGGATGGTCCCCGACCTGGGTTATTTTCTTCTGGAGGAACCCAATTTTGCTAGTACGTATACCAGGAAGCTACAAACGGTTCACATCACACTCATGCCACATCCCCCCTTCTCTGCACTCTTCATGTCTAATGTCCAGTTTGGACCACGCAGGGCACCGAGCTATGGCCAGGGGGCTATTGGTGGACTCAAGCTGAGCAGATGCTCTCAGCCAGCCTTATGGCTTTCACATATTCTAGGGAACTCTCCATTTCTGGAGATGCAAGAGCCAGCCAGGGCAGACACCTCAGCATAAACTCCCCAGCAGACATATGTGAGCCTGATTAGCTTCTGAGTCAGTCAGCAATGAGTCATTGCCCACCAAGGGGAAAAAAAAAAAAAAGGACCTATCAAAGCTGTTTTTCAAAAGCAAGAAAGAATGATTCAAGCATAACAAATAGGTAGGCATTTGCTTGGACTGGGGAGGTCTTGGTTCTTGTTCTTGAATTTCCCTTCTTCCACATCCCAGGTGAGTGCTCCAGCAGGCCTACATAGTCAACTTCTCTCCCCTCTCCGCAGTTATGGAAACAGCTAATACAAATTTGAACAGCTTGCATAGGCAAGATTGAGAAAGAGCCTCAACTGGGAAAAACCACCTGATATCCTTGTTTTCAGGGAGAAGAGGCAGAACAGGGGTGCATCATCCAAGTTCCTTCGGTAAACCCCTTGATCACCATGCTATTTTGTACTCAGGTCCAGCTGGCCTCTTTCATCAAAAATTCCTAGCTGAGACTAAAAATTCCTTCCAGATATAAATTTTGTTAAAAAAACATCCAGTTCACTCCCATGTTTCTACAAACTGGAAGTCTTGGCCACAAAAACTCCTCATTGAGCTTCTGTGAAAGATGCTGCAAAAAATAGCATTGGTTCAAACATTATAAATACCAGGTGTCCGGGGTGCAGATCAGCAAAAGTTGGATATGAGAGTCTGATCTTGTTTCTCAGTCTCCATTCACTATGGAAGCATTCAAACAAGCCAACACTTGTTTCTTTTCACTTAATCTTTTTGCCAAATAATAAGTCTTTCAGACAGCCTCACTGGAGTTACTCATACACATGGAAGATCACCTACTGGAGTATATCGCTTTACCAGTTGTTCTTCTCCTTCAGATTCCCTGGGTGTTAAGCACCTCTCACAGTGCCTCTAAGATATAGACTATCCTCTTCGATGGTGTGGGAAGGCAGAATCAGATCTTTAACTTAGGATGAGGGCATAAAGCTGTTGATATACAAAAGGGAGAGAAATACTGTTTACTATTCTATGGAATCATATAGAAGTAATGGCTTTTCTTTTTAAAGGCAAATGCATTGAAAACCATTTCATTATGGTATAGACATCTGAATGCCAAAAAGAGATCAGCGGGCTGATGGGTGGGCCAATAAGACCAACAGAACTACTGAGGGCTCTGGAGGGCCTGGGCAATCAATAGAACCAAAATAGAAGCAAAGTGTCTAGAGCCTGGTCCAAGCAGCAAGACGAGAATTGAACATTATGATCTGTTAATATTTTATATTTGAATTGAATTGTTAATAAAAGCTTCCAAACACCCTTCACTACTAAAACCAAAAAAGGTAAAGGTGAAGCAGCTGAGCAGTACAGCTCAACTGAGCTATACAAATACAGTGAAGCACAAGAAAGTTTTAAAGAGGAAGAAAACCTTTCTTGATCTTGAAATTCTTTTGGTTAAGAAACAGTTTCCTTCTGCCCACTGCAGCTTCCAGAATATCAAAGAAGGGTAGTCAAGTGGTGATGACTAGTAAAAGCTACTGTTTAGGCTTGACCATTAAAAAAGAACGGAGACTAAGGCCAGCTGAGTGCAAAGATAATGCAATTTGTAGCAAATGAGACTACTGCAAGTGTAAGCAACACTGATGCCCAACGACATACAGGTAAAGAAAGAGAGGCACATCTGTGCTCCTGAAATCATGAGAAACCATAGCTGGAAAGCATCCCAAAACGCCTGTAAACCTTTTTCTGGCTCTAACCAGTCCCAACAGATGTTTATCCAACCTGGATTTTTAGTAAAGAAACCTTCAAAGCAAAGATTCAATACCCTTTTCAGGCAATCTATTTTAGTGCTTAACTATTCTTGCTGCTAGAAAGTTTTTCCTAATGTTTAACCTAGACGCTCTTGCTGCAATTTAAGCCCATTACTTCTCATTCTATCCTCAGTGGACATGGATAGCAGTCTATTATCTCCACAGATACAGAAGGTCTAACAGCAAATTCAGCTTTCCTCACTGTCAGTCCTAGGCCTTAATTACAAAATGATTCCAACTCTTACAGCTCATATTTGTATATACACTATGCATATTTATGGCATATACCAAGAAGGCTGCTTTGAACGCATTGCTGTGAGGATTTTGTTGTGGTAGAGAAAACAAATTGCCATCGCTGGCATTACAGCCAAAGAAGCATTATTCACACAGCCTTCATAAATACATACGCCATACACACACATACACATTTTGCCCATTAATAGCCATGTTATATACAAACACTGACAGATCTGAGGACACTCTAATGTTACCACATTAAGCATACTCAGTCCATATCTGCATGCAAGCACCTAAGTGCGCGCACATGCCGACACAAAAGCATATGAGCACTTATGGATCTGTGGCACAGACTTGCAGATGATATAAATCAGTGTCGCCCCTACTCAGCCTAACTCCTATTTAAGCTGAACATTAGGTACGAACAGACACTTGCGCAGATCCCCACTTCTACACAGCCATATGGGCTGTATAGCCTGGCCGGTGTGCATGGCACACCTTCCCAGACTTTGGGATGCTGCAGGCCAGCCACCAGCCGGGCCACCGAGAGCACAGGCTTCGGCACTGTCACGTTCCCATCAGCAGAAAACCCTGGTTCAGG